ATAAGCAATGGGTTTGTCTGTTTTCAGTATGAGCTTTACGTGTTGTCATTCTGTTTTGTTGGGATAACATCATTTTCTTGTAAACATTCCACGAACGAATCCCTATCCTTGCAGTGAAATAATGTGACCCATCGCATCAGTTCTCTGAGGTCTTTCATTACCGAGTTGAATTTTTGAGTGAGTACCCAAATGCTATGCTTCATAAGACGACCCGAAAATGCTAAATAGGACAATATGTCTCTCTTTTTGGTGATTTCTTTATTTACGCTGAAATCGTCTATGATGAAAAGCTTCGACTCTCCCTTAAACTTGAAATGCTTTTAACCAGTCCTGTAACGATTTGGATGTCACTCATGAAACGCCAGTGGTGGATGATGAACCACTGCAAATGACACCTCATCCATGGGTGACGTCCTAAGCAACGAACTTTTAAAGACGACTGTGAATGATTACTATGATGTCTTAAAGAAGATGACAATAACATGACACCTTTTCTAAGTTTGAAATAGATAATAAAGGGATACTGCGACTGAAAGCGGCTCCGGACGTTGATCTCTGAATGCCCTATGAGAAAACCCCTTGCATTGTCTACACTGGCCAATCACCATGGTGCAACTTTCTCTACGATGAATTAAATCTGGAACACTGTTGTACACAGTCAAGACTTTCAGCAAAGACCACTAAAACACTGCAAACGGTGCGGACTGATCTAGGTGCAATGGCGAGTGCGTTAGATCAGGATAATTTGAGAGAGGTACCACAACAGACTAAGGAAGGTTTGATAGGACTCGACAAAATATTTAGTAAACAATACTTAATTAGAAACACCGGAGCTGAATCATACAATTCGGGAACTGTGAGGCCTAGTTGATGCCATGCAAACAATGCTTGTCAATAACTTAGCTAAACTAGACAATCTCAACACTCATATGGATAAGGAGAAAAGAAAACTCGAAGAAGCGGGAAGTGAATTCAACAGACGTGTTGCAGAAAGAAGGTGAAAGATTGAGGTAGATTGTGAAAGATTGGTCCGAATAGAAGCGGCTTCCACCAATATAGAAGCTCTTTGATCCCAAATCAGTAGAATTTGCGAAACCATCAATCGAGTTCTGAACGATGACACGACGAGAGAACCATTGCTAGTATTTTAACCGCACGGTGGTTTTATCATATCGACATTAGTTCTCTCTATTACGGGTGATGCTCTGACACCACCTAGCCTACCGCCTAGTGACGTAAAAGAATAGATGAAAAACATTTAAAGTCCCTGGGTGAAGCCCTAGCAAGGCTAGTGTAAGCACTCCCAGGTATAATTAGTGGTATTGCATCCTGGCTACTGAACGTATTATCTAAGATTGCTACTTGGCTTAGTCAAAATTTGTGGACGTTAATCATGTCAGTTGTCGGCCTGCTGTATATAGACGCTAAGGAATTTTTAACTACATACAAACAAATTGCAATGATTGATATGTCATTGATTTTGAGCACGTGCTGACGACTGCGGTTTTGGTGTAGTATGTTGCGGTGACTGGGCTTCCTGCTCTGGTGGGATCACTATTCCCGTTTCACCTGTATGCGTTGACGGTATCAGTACCGGTATGTTGACATCTGGTTGTTCGCTCGTAGCCATGACAATTTCGTTGTTAGAACCTTCCACGTGATTAACTCTAATTTTCATATTACTAAGAGCCACGTACAAACCTATACCAAAAACGTAGTTTACTTTAGACCCGGCATTCACTAGCAAATTTTGGTATCTCTTGATGGCTTTTGGCAAATCTACAGGGGATGAAATAGAATCTTCGACGTTCGCCACAAATTGTTTCTGCGCATCAAAAGCTGTCCCCTGACCTATAATACTCAAAAGTCTTACAACAATGGGATGAGAAAACCCATTTGATTTATCTAAAATATTTTTTTCAAATCAACTTCGGGTCCTTGCTGAAACCTCCATTCTTTCAGCTTATTTGAGGGGCAGATGGTGAACGAGTGGAATACCCAAACAACGATTAACTCCTGGCAAACGCCAATCCGTATTTGTGTTGATTCTGAATTCATCATAAATACGTTCTTATGCACGCCGATCGTACGGATTATTCATTGCGCTCCATTCGGAGTCCTGTGGAACCGGTGTATTTATTTCTGTAAGTATGCACCTGATCTGGTAGTAAACGTGAAATATGAAAACAGACTTGAAGTTTGTCACCACTAGGCAGTGTGGCCTGGTCATCGCTGAGACCAGCGAAAAAAAGAGACCGCCACATTATTTCCGATGGTTATTATAATGTTTGTTGACTGAACAATGAAAATTTTAAACCTAATGGAGCTAGTCTCAAACTAAATGAGTCGAACAGAATGCTTAACCAGTGGAAAAGATCCCATAAGAATTATCATCTCCCGCAACAATGATCGAAAATACCAGATATATACTCCTCAAAAGAAGTTAAGGGTCACAAGTATTTTGGAATATAAGCAGAAGATATGGAAATAAAATTGTGACAACCAATGACAAAAACAAAACCTCAAGCTCTAAAGAAACGAAAACACAAAACAAAAAGTGAATTGTTTAGCACAACTTTATTCCACAATTCATCGAAGTCAAGTACCCCAAAATCAGAGTTCACACAAAGCCAGAAATCTTTAATAACTCGTGTAGCCACCGTTAGCATGGATGAATTCCTGACCCTGTTGACACATGTTATTCATTAAACGCCTAAAACATTGTTGGGGGGCTGCTGCCCATTCTGGGACTAGTTGTTGACCCAGTTCTTGTGGGTTGACGGCAGGAAAGTGATAAGCTTGAATTCTTCGTCCTATCTCATCCCAGGCATGATTCAATTGGTAACAAGTCGGGTGAATAAGCAGGCCACACCATGTGCTGAACGTTCTGCTGCTGCAGAAAGTCTGTCACCACCCTGGCACGATGGGGTCTAGCGTTATCATCCCGGAACCAGGCCCCTGGTCCAAGTTGACGAAGCAGTGGCATTACCAGAGGTTGAATAATCTCGATGAGATATCGAAGACCAGTCAAATTCCCATTGACGATTTAGAGAGCAGTTCTGTGGTGCAGATATCCGCCCAGACCATCACGCTTCCGCCTCCGAAAGGTAAACGTTGAGCAACGTTGACGTCAGCATACTTCTCTCGTTGGTGACGATAAACACGGGCACGACCATCCTTAAACTGGAGTGTGTGGTGGGATTCAGCAGAAAAGATTGTCTGTGCCCACTGATCACGGTTCCAACGAACATGCCAACGGCACCAATCTCGGCCAGCTCTTCTGTGCCGCTCAAGTAGTGGTGGTCGGACTGGAGAACGTCGAGAGCGCAAACGTCGGACACATAGACGATTTTGAACTGTCTGATCGGATACGTTGGTGCAACGGCCAGCTCTCAACTGATCCTGAAGATGTCTTGCGGTCAAAAATCGCTGTCGCAGAACCATCATCATCAAGTAGAGATCATTTCGGGCTGTTGTTGATCGATGTCTTCCGGAATGGGCCGATTCTGGACAGCATTTGTTGTCCTGAACCCTGTCATAGTCACCAGATAACACTTTGGCATACATTTAGTCGCCTAGCAACACTTCGTTGGGTTTGACCATCTATTGCCAACCTATTGCCCTTCCTCTGTCTTGAATGCTGAGCTGTCGTCTGACCATCTTCAAATTTCAAATGAGGCCGATTTGAAAATGTTTGGTCTTTTTATTGTGAAAATGTGCATGCATAAAATGACATCCATGGACAGTACGTGTAAAATGTGCATTAGGTGGCATAATGGTTGTTTCGCTGATGAGGGTCAGTTTAGTGTAGCCGAGTTCATGGTTCAAATCAAGAAGTCCGAATTTACAGTTAGATTTGACAGTTACCTAATGAAACGGGTAATGATAACTTTGTCATGAAGTTATGATGTCTTCAGTCCAAATAACACCCATACAGAAAGTTTCCTGTCCCTATTTGTCTCAAAATTGCCCATTCTAATTTTGATGTCCACATTTCGTTTGACCCTTAACATCTTTTGAGTAGTATATATAGTTCCCTATCGAGAGCTGTGAATTCATCTCGATCATTTGATGTTCCGCTGAATTTGGTCTGTGTTATGGTAGCTGTGGGGGTGGAATTGGAGTGAAAAGGATTGATGAGGGTAAGTGGTCATTATTGTGTATACTACTGATAAAAATAGGTTATGACTGATTAAATAATTATTTACAAGGTTCACTAAATATTCTATCACTGCAAGTTAATAAATGGATGTGTGCAAGTATTGATTTATTTCTAGACTGTTCTCCATGAGTATGGCTGTTGAGATCACACTCTTTTATAACTGACAGGTTGTCATTATTTTCCTTAACTTTGAGCAAGTCCTGGGGTCTATCTCCATGTTGTAATCACGTTCATTGCCAATGCACATATCGTTCTGCATCAAGTCTGTGAACCGTATGTTTAAGTACAATGTATTTACGTGTTTATGTGTCATGTAATATTGTGTTTTTCAGGGTGTATTCCATATCCATATCCATATCCACACACAGTAGGAACTAGATATTCTTTGATTGTCTTTGGTTTACAGCTCGACCGTTTTCCCAACAGATCATGCTGATAAAACATAAGGAGCCTGTCAAGAAGAGGTGGGTGAAAAGAGGAAGTAGCCGTTCTTGGCTTGTCTTGACCCAGCCCTTCCGAAAACCCTCGTCACTATACAGCTTGTTTGGCGAATCCCATACTCTTCACTGTCTGAGTACGATAAACAGCTTAACAATATAAGTTATAATATAGTCATATTATCTTATTATAGAAAGAGGGTAATATTTACAATTAATTATGGGATATATGCATGCCTAATTGTAGGCTTACCTCTTTTTCAGTTTTTGTTGGGAATAAGTACAGTCCCATTCTTACTGAGATCATGCCGTGTACAGATTGTTTCAGATTGTTTAAAGAACTATTACAATCTCGTCAAATTAGATTCAGTTTTTAGTGTACATCGTAACATTATACTCACGACAACAGTCACTCCTGCTTGTCACGGCAACCTCAAACATCTCAGAATAAGCTTCAAGATCGACTTGCCACCAGGGATGATTGTCTCCTTCTGCCACAGCAAAACAACTGCCACTTTTCCAGTCAGTGTAAGGGAGGCCGTCTGTTGCAACTTCAGGATGTGTCCCATACACAGAGCTCGCTGTTGCTGGCTTGCCTCTGGCTAGGTTAATCGTTCCTGAAATGAGGTGAAGTGCGGTGAGATGAGGTTTAACTCACTTTAGTGAGTGAGTGAGTTTAGTTTTATGCCGCACTTAGCAATATTCCAGCTTTATGGCGGTGGTCTGTAAATAATCGGATCTGGACCAGACAATCCAGGGACCAACAGCATAAACATCAATCTACACAATTGGGATACCATGACATGTGTCAACCCAGTCGGCGAGCCTGACCACCTGATCCCGTTAGTTGCCTCGTACGACAAGCATGGGTTACTGAACATCAATTCTAACCCATATCTTCACAGGTTTTAACTCTCTTTAACCTACAATACAATAGAATTTAAAACAAATTCATTGAAACATTTTATCATCAAGGTCATTTTATCATCATGTCTGTAAAACCAAGTGCAAGTGACACATAAAGTCCTTGGAAAGTACCAATATATGCCCTGTTTTTGTTCATTTCCATAGTTACAACAATCAATGAAAATTGTCAGTAACAGTAAGTTGCTTCCCAGTTCCAAGATTTCAGGCTTTTGTTGTGTCATGAGGCAGTGGCTATGGTATAACTTGATTAGCAAAGACACAATTGAAAATTTTACTATAAATTGTTTATCTATAATACTTATCCGCAGATTACCCTGTGTCTAATGTATAAAAACCATGATGACGCATTACGCAAGGAGGCCTGGAGAAAGCACCAACTCCAGATATGCTATACTCCAATACTTGTATGGGTTGCTTCTGGTGTATTAACCCCTTGGCTTACAAGACACAAAGATTCTAGGGAGTGGGCAGTCCAGAATCGATGTGGTTTCAAGACAAAAGGACGCAGTTTGGCAAGTAGACCCCGCCTCTCTGCGATTTATCAGAAGACCCCAGTGAATTAAAGTCTAAGACATTAATCTGGACAGCCCCTGCTTCTAAACCATCCCCCTCGATCACACGCTGGATGGCAGTAAAAGGGAAGATGGCCTGGTGCTCAACTCGTTTAATGTTCAGTACCAATCAATCATCATAAGATGAGAAAGGAACTTAGGAGTGGAACGCTTTGAAAACCCGTAGGAATTCGGAAAACAACAATTCACTGACGTAATTGTTCGCAAGAGTAGAGGTCAGCCAGTGGATGAAGTACAAGATTGGCCTCACAGTCTATAGAGTTATGGGTATGACAGTATTACAATGCCCGGCTTCGGTGAAGATGAAGGTGATCTATGCCCAGGATAAAGTAGAACAATATGAAAAGATAATATCAATTTCTTCTGTTGAAATACGAGGTAGCATGACCATCGCAAGGAAGGCTGCTCCTTCATCTGCGTTGAGGGGTCAACAAAAGTTGCTGCGCTAGCACCAAAAGGCTAAACTGGTGCAAGCCTTCCACATCAATGATGGATAGATCTCGTAGATAGTGTGAGACAAGTGAACTCCAGAAACAACCATCCATGTTGGCATTAAGAGAACAGTAGTGTAGTGCCATTGTTGAAGCCAAAGCTTGTGTCTCGTGAGGGCTAGCAGTAGTAGGTTGCGAAAAGTCATCGTAGGCGTAGGCACATAGGATGGTTGAACGCATTCAAAATGCAAGGGTTGTACGAGAGAGTCTGCTGATGAAGCTGTAGACAATAGGGTGAAAAGTCTCTTGCGTACCCTACGTCGGTCTTGAGATGCAGAAAGGTACACTTGTAATTATAATGCCCTAACCATGCAGAGTGAGAGATCCTCAGTGTCGTCGGGCCCCATTATCATGGACAGTGGTGGAATGACAAAAAGTCTATCTAACTCTCCGGGTAACTGATTCTTGGCAATGAAGTTCAATCTTAGTCAAGAAATACTTTGCCATGCCTCTTCCATTCAAAGTGCACTCGGTTGACATCCAGGGCATGAAGTTCCGAGATGTCTGCAGCGGTTGCAAGGGCCACTAGGAAGAAGGTCTTGAAGGTAATACACTCGAAATATTTCTCCCCCAGAGGCTCGTACTCATTCGTAAGTGAGTCAAAATTGTGCTGTTTTGCCAAGTTCCCCTTTCCTTCCAGACACTTTGAATCTTTCATACTGTTGATGCAACAATCTGCCGGCCTCACTCTCAGTGGCTGTCTTTAAACTAGGAGAGTCCTGGGCTTCAATCAACATGTCAAGCAAAGGCTTCACATGATCATGACTGTGAGATGTTAGGAAAGCTTGAAGAAGAAGCCTTTCCAAGCCTTCGAGTACAAGCTTGTGTACCCGCATGGCGTGGTTGTAGTGTTTTCCTGAGATAAATTTTGCAACAGAGCCGCTTGCACATATTCCAGACTCTATGAATATTTCAGAAAATCCACTCCCTTCCATTCTCTTTCCTAGAGCTCCGAAAATAGCACAAACTGTATGAAAGACTCCAAGGCGTACTATAACATTCTCAAAACATCTAATGACAGAGCTTTCTTTGCAACTGCAATATCAAAGGTAAAAATAGTGTAGCTTTTATTAAGTTGATCGCTTGCTTCTTGAGATATTTCCAGGAGATGTTGAACTGTTGCATTGTCAGTGACTGGAGCATTCACTGGTGTCATGTAATCCACAACTGATTGCTTCTTGTCGACCTTCTGGCTCACACTTGACAACCATCCCGTTCACCCTGGAACTTCTCCTGACTTGTGAATTCTGCAGAGTAGCCAGAGAATATCAGATATCACTGCATCTGAATGACTAGCAGGATCATCTGTTCTTGTTCTCTGGATGTCAAAGTTTGGCCCAGGCTTTCCTTTCCAGTAACAATTCGCAAGTTCTCTTTCTATAGGGTTCACAGATCTAGATTTCTGTATGATGTTACCATGAGCGGTGTGTGTTGTCCCTCTTCCTGAAGGTGTTTCTTCATTGAGAATCAAAGTTATCCCAACAAAAGTGAATCACTTCTGTTTGTCCTGGAACAGCTGTAGCTGGGAGAATAGAGTTGCTAGATGTGATCTTGTTGCAAATGGATGTTTCCAATCCAAGATTTTGACAATAAGACTGACAATGTCCAAACCGATTAAGAAGAGTCAAAATCTCTGCACTGCCAGTCCAGTGTCTGATTGTCATTGCAAGAAGCAAATGCTGTGGTAATGTCCACTTGCCATGAGTTGAAGCAAAGCACAGATCCTGGCTCAATGAGTTAAAGAGTCGCTTTGTTTTGTTGCTGGTTGAAGAATAGGCTTTACCAGATAGTACGTGAGCCACCAAATCAAGCAGAAGAGGTGGAAGTCCTAGAGAATGATCCCTGAGATCTTTAGCTGATGGTGGCCACGGAAGAGAAGTACAACTCTTGTGAGCTTCTAAGATCAATCGTCTCAAAAAACACTTTCAGAATAGATACGATCGCTATGGTGATTAGGCTGCCAAAAGCTTATTTTTACTTCCAAAATGTCTTTAAATTTTATCCTTGAGTTTGTATGTATTGTACTCTTCATTATGCACCTAAGAACTGTGAGTAAGAATGTGGTTCAGGTATTTCTCTTTCAGCATAGTCATCCGTTCAATTTTACCCTTTTGGATTATGTTTTCTTCAATATAGGAGAAGAGATAGCTGAAAGCTGTTTCATGAGCATCCAATCTGCAGTTGTAGTCATCTTGGGTGCTTCTGTTGTGTCTCTCAGCAGCTTCTGCGCATGTGTAGCTGCGTCTGCATACATTGTGATAGTGGCGCCTCTTTGGCGACAAGATCTGATCCCAAGATATCACAGAGAAGCGAGTCATCCTGTTTTCATTCAGCAGCTTCCACTATCGATTTGGCAGCAGTTTCGGTTACACACTTAACAAGTGGCTGGATAACGTTTTTGAACTTCAGTTTAGATTTTCTGCAAAAGATGCATTTGTCGTCAGGAAAAAAACACACCCGTAAATGTATCTGATCATCTTCTCTTTGGTCGAGGTTCATTTGACTTGCTGTAGAGGCTGGAAGTGTTGGATCATCTTTTAAGACGGTTGATGTTCGCGAAGTTTTGATAACACCATCTGTGGTATCCATGAATTTTTGCATTGAGAGTCTTTGGTATGAGAGCACAAATATCATCTAGTCGGATAGTTGGATCAGTCTGTGACTGTCTAAACAGTACTGTATCTGTTATCTTTCTTGAACTTATATCAGTCAGTTGTCTCACGAGGGTTTTTTTCATTATGCTTGTAATGAATTATGCATTTCAGTGTCTCAGTACTCCAATGTACCTCACTTGATGCAAAATACTTGTCGTTTATTTGAAGGTTTCAAGGGATATGTTAATAAAAGTTGTCATGAGGAAAATAGTATCTTGCAGAAAAGTTTGGGTAGATTTAATTTTGAAAATTTGTACTTTTTAAAAAAATCACCTGTTGTGGGTGTTGTATTATCATTATAAGTGCATATGATTTTCACAGAGGAATTTATGTTGCAGCTCTTGAGCACAAGTTAAATTAAATGGAACCTTTTATTATCAACAAAGTTCATGCAATAAATATATCATTACATGTTATGTTCAATTGAAAATTATTGTATATCATTCTTCTTAGTTGATTTGTTTTATCCAGATATAAAAGAACTAAAAATACTCACCAGATTAACTGAAAAAGCAGCATACATGAGTTGAGAAAAAAGTCGTCTATTATCAGGGAGACATGTTTATTGCTGTAAAGGGACACAACTCTTGAAGTGTTTCCATACAACTTATGTTAGATCCTTTGTTCAGTGCTGGTCCTCAGATGAATATATTTAAAGGAATATTAAGAAATTGTTTTACATTGCTTATTGTTATTATTTTCTTTAACACAGTGTAACAGACATTGTAATTAACTGTAATATAAGTCAATTTTGATCATTTTAGAGCTATTGAAGCAAGAATACTTTCTTAAAACAATTGCCAACTAGAGTGTGTAGAAAAACAGCTAAGATTTGATGTTTCCCTTAGACGCAATGCATTTTTCCAAGTTAAAGTCTTCTTGTGCCTCTAACTAATTATTGAAGCTTAAATATTTTTTTTTTTTTTTTAATTTATTTATTTTTTTTTTAACATCTTTATTTCCACATTTTACA